AACTGGTTCGTCGCAAGGCACGTGCTTTTCATTACATTAGTGGTGTGATCCCTGGGACCATGATCGAGCGCGTTTACAAAAAGCAGCAGCTCTACAGTTTACTGTGTACCCCTGTGACTGTGTATACATGTACCACCACAAACACGGATGTTTCAACATTCAACAACGACGGTTCATCCAGCCTTTTGACTACATCGTCCGAGATAAGGGGAGAGAAAAACAGCAGTCATGACGTAATCCCGACAAGCTTCTTTACAAACGAATACAATAAAAGACTTTATTTATTTACTGCCGCTATGTCTGTTAATAAACAATTAGTGAAAAGTGAAAAAGTGAAAAGTGAAAAAGTGAAAAGGACGACGTGATGGTAGTTCGCGCTGTGGGTCTCGCGCATTGCCAACCGGAAATTCGATTGTAAGTTCAGTTTAGTATGGGGTTTTGCGGCGCTCGCAAAATTTGCATAAGAAGAGGTCATATGAGCGTGCATCGATTGTAAGTACAATGTATGTATTACACCCCCGCAGACACAATTTGGGTCATTCGGGGTGGTCATTAGGGAGAAAGACGATGAAGGAACTCCATGACAACATAGAAGTAGATCAATGTGGGCGGCTGGGTGGTGAATGGTGACAAAAGTAGGCCTACTGGGGACTTGGGACCTGCCCTTAGAGCGTGGATTATTCTGTTAAGATTCCTAAACCGTTCAGAAAAAAAAAGAAGGGACCCTGTTCTTTGAATGTTCACTCGCGTTACCGTAAGTTTTAGTAAGAGTTTTACGGCACTTAATTGCAACACAATAAGGTTATATAAATGCAAAAGATTAGAAGTATTACAGGAGAGTAAAAGACATAAGGAGGAGGGAGGACGAGGAGGACGAGGAGGACGAGGAGGAGGAGGGGGAGGGGAGATAAGGACACCTGATGTATGATAGGGCAGAAGAAGCAAACCACTCCACAGCACGCGTCAACCGCACACAATCGAGGTCAGTTTTCAGTAAGAGTTTCGCGGCACTTGCAACTGCATAAGGTCATATAAGCGCCAGAAGATCAGAGGTGTTACAAGAGAGTAACAAACATACAAAAACAAGGAGGGGAGATAAGGACGATAGATGTTTGAAAGGAAAGAAGGAGCAAACCACACCAGAGCACCCACCAACCACCCACAATAAGGTCATATATAAGTGCCGAAGATTAGAGGTGTTACAAGAGAGTAACAAACATTTTTTTTTAAAGAAGGAGGAGAGATCAGGACGATAGATGTTCGATAAGAAAGAAGAAGCAAACCACACCAGAGCACCCACCAACCACCCACTCACACACGATAGTTTGCTCTCTACGAAATATAAACTACAACATTCGAATACAACACAACAACACCTGTCACTACACTCTGGTGATCTCCGCTGCCCACCTAAATTACCATAATTGCCCATAAATGGGTGATAACGTCCAGATTGTTTTTGTTGGGTTTTTTGTTTGTTGTTTTAGTAGAGGTTTTACGGCGCTCGCAACTGCATAAGGTCATATGAGCGCCAGAAGATTACAGGGGTCACAAGAGAGTAACAAACATAAAACAAGAAGAAGGGGAGATAAAAGGACGATAGATGCTTGATAGGAAAGAAGGAGCAAATCACACCAGAGCACCCGCCAACCACCCACTGTCACTACTCTGGTGATTCCCCCACCGCCCACCAACACCACCATAATTGCCCATAAGTGGTACATAAACGTCCAGGTTTGCAGGCACTGAACTAAACAAACCAACAACCTCTGGATATTTCAATGTTTGGTGGGCACCTTGGATGGACGATGAGAGGCGGTGGGATATCTAGCCGTCATCGGGTGAATTGACGTAAAAGCAGTCAGTTTAGTTTCGTTTTAGTAAGAGCTGTAAGGCACTTGCAATACAATAATAAGGTAATAAAAGTGCCCAAGTTTAGAGGTGTTACAAGAGAGTAACAAACATTTAAAAAAAGACGGAGGAGAAATAAGGACGATAGATGTTTGACAGGAAAGAAGAAGCAAACCACACCACAGCACCCGCCAACCACCATCTAAAAGCAGTGAAATTCAGGGAAAGACTTCCGCAACGAGCAACCACCCCAACAAACACAACAAAGAAGAGACCTAATCCTAACCCTAACCCATACCCTAACCCCAGCCCTAACCCAAACCTAACCCAAACCTTACCCTCTTACCCTCTGTCTGTTTCAGAGTACAGGCCTAGTAGTCTCTCATTACGGAATTCCTCCCAAATTCAGAAGAAAAAAAACAACCCAACAAATTATACAAAACAAAAGCTTTGGCCTTCTGTAGAACAAAGATCAGAATGATGAGTGTGTATGAGTGTGTGTGTGTCTGTGTGTGTGTGTGTGTGTGTGTGTGTGTGTGTGTGTGTGTGTGTGTGTGT